GGGAGAGGGAGAGTGTGCAAAGTGGGCACGCGTGGGTGTACATCCGTGTGAGCACTAGGCGTGTGCCCGCCGGTGCCAGTTAGAGGCCTCGCTCGTGTGGGCTGCCGCTCGATCTCTGCCGCATGTCGATTCCCTCTATTGAGCCGCCCCAGCCAGACGAAAAATCAGCCCCCTTATGTCAGAAAAGCGAGAATTAAAATCTGTACCTGCAGATTCTGCTTCTGACTACCAGCCGCAAGGGGAAACCCCCAGTGGTTCTGCTGTCAAAAAACCAGAGTGCGGTATACCGTGGTATTCCTGACTGACCAACCGAACGAGGGATCTACCCACTACGTCTCTGTCAGCCATGGCAACCCAAGTGACGACCGGTTCAAAGTTCAATCGAGCAGCAGCCTCGGTGAGTTTATAGATGTCTTGCACAGGTTGGACGGGGGGGGGGGGAGGGGGTTATTCTTCATGGATTTCAGCACGTTACTCAAAAATACGGAAGAAACCAATTCAGCTTGTGATAAAACACCCCCTTAGCTACAAGACAAAACAAAACATCTCTTAAAGCTTTTAGCAACCGATCTGCAGCCTAAAGCAGCACCTCCCCCCATGATGGTGCCTCGGCGGGGGCCGCGAGTGTCCGTGAAGCCCCTGGCTCTCCAGTGAAGGGCATCCGGCCCCCTCTGTAATCCCACCACTGCTGCCATCTTGCTTGCGGTTACGTTTTCAAAACAGATCCATCTTCAGAATCAGCTTGCTGGGAAAACAACCTGACAGGCCAAAGCGACTCGATACGTTGCCTCACGTCCTTATGCTACATTAGGGTCTTTCAAAGGCACAAAAGATAACAGACAGTCCATGAATCCATCCATCCATTCATCCAAACACTTACGTTGGCTTCAGGGATACCAGCCAAAACCAGATCGCCACCCATAACTCAGTTACCATAATACTGCACTAAACAATCAGCCTTAAAAAAAAATGGAGACATAGTGGAATGTAAACAGACAACAGATAAAAAACCACCGCCATACTCTCACTTTAAAACATAAGTCATTTAGGGGACAGTACTGACTAGACAGATGAGACAGCACACTAAATTAAACAGGAATTCCCCCCCCCCCCCAAAAAAAAAAAAACAACAACACAGGCAAAGTTGTAGTGATAAAAATCTATGTAGGCTTAAAAATAATGATTATACTCAAAAACCCAAAGCAGTTTGAGACATTACTTATCATAACACCACTGTGGGATTTTATAATTAGCAATAAATCCTATTTTTGGGAAAACGGAACTAAGAGTGACATATTTGTGTATATCAAATATTACAGTGAATGTGTGTATGCAGATGATTCCACTTTGCAGTCCTACTGGGATGACACCAGCCAGTCCACCCAGTGGCAAAGCACCCCAAAAGGGCAAGTGGGGGGGTGTGGGGTTGTGTCCTCTTAACTCTCACTGCCTGTCCGCTTCAGCGCTATCACCAATCAGGGCCCGGAGAGATAGAGAAAGAAAGATAGGAGCAACATAAAAAAACAACAGCAGTGCCCCTCCAACACAGGCAAGCCATGACTCGCCAAATCTCAGCCTTTAAGATGATACCCGTCCGGTCTTGGAGACAGTTACTCTATGGGGCTGCTGGGGGAGGTGGTGGGTGGGGGGGGGGGTCGATATCGATGTATGGAATGACAAGGTGGCGCTCAATGTCAGCAGTCTGCCGGCACGCCTCTCCTTAGCAGATCACTTTCAGTGAGGGTGACTTCCTCTGTTTTATTCTACCCATCAGCCATTTCTGCCAGTTTAATTCAGACTAAGCACCTTGGTCAAGGGCAGGACTGCAGGGGACTGAAAGCCTCTGGTCCCAAGTGCGGCAGCCCATTCGCTCGTTGTGACTCCGACTCTGATGTATCGACACTTTAATAACAAACGTGTTCTTATCAGGAGAAGCTCCTGCCGTTTGTGCATCTAGCACCGTGTCTTCTGCCACCCCCCGAGAATGGGGGTCACAGTGGCCTGCACTATTGCCCAGTGCCTCCAGTACTGGGAGCTCATATTCACTTTGTATTCCTTCATGTACTCCAGATTCCTCCCACAGTCCAAAGGCAAATTTGTGCCAATAAAATTGCCCATAGCGTGCATCCTGTGATCCAGCCTCCCGCTTAAGGTTCAATGCCCAATGTCCCCATTGACCTTGTAATGGATAAGAGGTTGGAAGATGGATGGCTGGAAATACCTCACGAAGCAGTTAGTTCAAGAACTAATGTACAATAAGGTCTCTCAAATATCAGCATATATGGGAGAAGACAATCTATGTATCCAAGCAACACAAAAAGATATTCAAACATAGAAACGACCCTTGCAATTTTTTTTATTACCAATATCATACTGATGTGTAATTAATTGCTTCTTTTTTTTCCCTGGTGATCTGAGCCATTTACAGGAAGAATCAGCCTTTGTGAAGCAATATGTGAAAGTGCAATTATATAACAGGACAGAACTGGACTTTGGATTTGCTTAACATTGGCAAAAAGGCGACAATTACAGCCTGCAGCTGTCTAAGAGTACTGTCACCTGAAACTGAAGCCACTAGTCACGAAAGAAACAGTAATTCACAAACTTATTATTGAATAAAACTTAATAAATGCATATAATTCCAATTATATTTATGCATGTGTGTATTCCTCTATGTTTGCATGTATATGTAGGATGTTTCTGATCAGTTACCCCTCATTATTAGCATCTTCCAAATACTTATGCAGTACAGATTGGGATGGATGGAGCTGAGTGGGGACATCCTGCCCAGATGGGATGCAGGTTCACCACAGGATGCACACACACACATACACTCACACGCCGGTCACGAAAGATTCAAAAACCTTATAGAACTGAACCAAAAAACAGCTTCAAATCCGTATATGATTTAAGTGACAAAAAGTAAACATACTTCCATATTAACCCCCATAAAACACATACAATATGATGTGATTTTCTTAGACAACTTTATAGAGAAAAGATGACAGAAACCATTGATGACTTGTTCTTCTCAATCCTGTTGTCCTCCTTCTTCCGTCAATTAAGAGTCATCTCTCCTAACACACACACACAAAAAAACTGTGCCATGTCACTGGAACACAGCATTCCGTGACTTCTCCTCGCTGTCACCATCCCTCTGAGCTGCTGATGACTGTCCCCCTCCCAGGCCGACGCTACAGTCTGTGACCTGCGTACGCCGTAAGTGGCGACGTCACGATCACACCCCAGCCCCTGCTCTGCAAACACCTTTATCTTGCTGACCAAATAAGGCAGAGCGCCGGGGCAAGCTGGCAAACCACGCAAGAAAATAAGCCGGACCTATTCCTAATTTCTGCGACAGAACAGATCATCTGCATCGCAGGACCGCGCGACAGTCGCCAGTAAATCGCCAGTAACGGTTGCCGGTGAGGACTCCCCTACTGCCGTCCCAATTCACTGTGCGCCAGCACTGCCTGCCCCCGACTTTGCGGGTGTTAGCGCTACACCGTCGTCTGTTACCCCCCCCGGGACGTAGTGGAACATACCACTATTTGGCACTCCAGGTGGCTCGGCAACAAGCCTCCATCTAACACTGCCACCCCCACCGCATCACCGGCGACAAAGAGCAGCAGCCAAACCCTTTGGCTCACAGATCTATTAGCTTAACGAATCCCAGCCCAGGGTGAGAGAATCTGACCTCCGGTGCTACTAAGCGGTGGGGAGCAGAGGCAAGTGCTGGCAACCTCTGCTGGCACACGAGGCATACGGAAGATGAAGTGCAGCACTGGAGATGGTCTGACCTCTAATACCAGAAGATGAGCATTGGATCTTCCTTCATTGCACTGATTTCCAAGTGTGCATCACTGCTGACACTCAAATTCAACTGTTTCCCTTACAAATATGATAAATATTTGGGTGTCTGACAGCTTTGTGTGTGACAGAAAAAAGCGGGGGGGTTGTTGTATACTGTTGGACAAGACATCAATGCAGGTTACATTACATACATCTACGCGGTTAAACCTTAGACGACTGCTAGTGTCTGTAACAAACGCGAAGCCCAAATATTGATATAACGACATGAATACTGCTCAATTTCAGCAGTGAATCTGCCTACAAACGCCCACACTATGCAAAAACACAGGCGAACCCGCATGGGCACGTCAATATCAATAAAGGCTGACACATAGGCACCGCCAGGATGTACGCGGCAAAAAACGTTCCCACTTGGCCCCTCACTCATTCATCTGCCTGGCGTGCATTCCCTCTCTCTCAAACACACACACACACACTCATGCGCACACGAATCACAGACACCGAACAACAATCTGGACAAACGGCGGAAACGCTGACCCGTGTTATACATACACACACACACACTTTTTCACGACCGACCTGCAAACCGTCGAACCGACTCCGGCGCCCGGCTGACAGGGGTGGTGGGGGGGGGAGGTTACGCACTGACACATAACGCTACGGTATCACTGACCTGCACGAGCGCGCAGCCCCGCCGACACATTTACTCCCGTTAGCCCTTTTCTAACATTCGGGAAAATTACATTGAAGCACGAGGCAGTCGTGGGATACCGCCGACCGCGAAGGAAATCCCATTATAATTCAAACGAGCACCTCTTATTTATTTATTTAGATACCGTATAAGGATATTTGCCAGATAGTCACTAGGACGCCCCTGTATCACCCGGTACCCTCTACTTCCCATCTGACATGTCACCGATACGGCTCTCGCGTACTGACTCTCCGGGGTGAGACATCAGCGGCATCGGTCTGTCGGTCCACCGCTACCTTTCGGTTTACACCCCCGCTCTTAACCCCCGCGACTAAACCGGGCGATCTGAGCCTCCTTCCCCAGTCGGCAGGCCCGATGAGCAGCCTAGCGGTAGGAGGAGAAAGAAGGGGCACCGACACAGCGATAGCCACAACGGGACGAAACGATGACAGGCCGGATGCGGACGTCTTCGGTAGCCCCATATCGCTGCTCTTACCTTGGCTTTGGTAATCATATGTGTGGCGAGTTTAACCACCGCAAAGTTCCCCTTGCCGATGGTCCGCTCCATCTCATAGTAGCCCACTCGGACTGGGGGGGGCCTGCTAGGCTGGAGGTGGCTGGAACCAGTGATGCAGCCGGTAGCCGTGGCGGATTTATGGTGGCTGATCCCGCTGGAGGTCTGTAATCGGCCCTGGGCACCCATGCCTACGGGGGCTGGTCGAGTAGAGTGCGTAATCCCGGCCGCTGTGGATCCAGCAGCACCTCCGCTCGACACAGCCGCCATCTTCTTGCCTCTCTGCGGGAACAACAAGCAGCCTTGCGGAGCGCGCAGCGCGGGCACGCCCCCGCCCTGCGTCACTGTGCGAAGGCTGTATCTCCGGAGCGCCCTCTCCAGGATGTATCCATGGCAACCATAAGCGTAACAATGACTTCATTGGGTCTGAACGCATATTGGGGTTGCCTTGGCAACCAAACTGTACCGTGAGACCAGTGAGACGAACATTGTCCTGCCATGACAACAGCAATATTCCAGCCTGTTCGCCTCTTGCCACTATTTATTACAACCCTGGTATTTCATTCCCTCTTCTCTTTCTATCCCTAGGGAACGCACCCTGCTGGTAGGAATTTTCGACTACTGGGATTGTGTATCTCATGAACGCGCAAAAGCAGTGAAAACCGTTCACGGGCCATGCATACGCAGTGCCTGGCTAGGCGTAGGACAGAAAGCACCGATTTGTCCCATCGAATTGACAAAGATGTAATATAAAACAATACCAAAACTGTTTGGGCCAATAAGAGACCTGATTATTATACTAACGTTAGAAGCAATCGCTAAGCCATTGCTTTTAAGTAACACCGATACCACGTAGTGCTTACCCCTGGTTTTGGTATTTAATGGGTAAATGTTATCAAGCTCTACCTGGATACCATATGGTGTTTTGCGCCATTGCACAGTTAAACAAATCACGTGATTATGAGTAGTATATATATATATCATGTTTCTAATCCTTAAAACAAGCGTAAGATGCTGTTTCGTGTATTCTTTTGCAATGTATGAGCAGATTTAAGTGGTATTGCATTTATGTATGAAGTAGTTGTATGGTATTGTATGTCCTTCCTTTTAGCAGTGTATGTTACAGTCTTTGCAGCAGTTTTAAAGTAGCACAAATAGAATTAAAAACAGGCGTCATATTAAGAGTGAGATTAAGGTGGACTTGGATCCCAGGGGAAAAATCTGGGGTAATACAAAGAATTTTATATAACCAGCATATGTTTACCAGTTTAAGATTATTTAGTGCAGTCACCTTTCACGTAGAAATTACTCACAAAGAAGGGTGATCTTTTTAATCTATATTATCAATAGACTTTTATCTATATTAATTATGTAGTGTTCAGAGAGAGGGAGGTTTTATTTTAAAAGTGTGTCGCATAAAAAGTCAACGCAACAGGGTATGAGTGAACATTTTTGTAGGGAAACCTTTAGCTTTGGCTATTCAGCTATCAGATCTTTTTCATTATATCCGAACTCTCCCCTGCCGTATGTGAAAATGATACAGTGTAGTCAGTGACGTCATCAGCTGCATGTCAGTGATACACGGTTTGCTTCTTACATGTTTGTATTTCTGGGTTTCACATGCGTTATTATTAAAGTATCCATCATTGATATATGTCATGCTATGATGTTTTGTAATAAAATGCATCGTTTAAGAAGAGTCATGTGTTTTTTATTCTCTCTCTGTTTGCCTTCTCCTCTTATCCAAGGCCATTTTCACTCATTCCTGCTATGCTTATAAGCAGTGTTTGTACTGGGATTGGGGTAAGGTACAATTCATTTCTACCCTGATAAGTGCGTTTTACTTTCTCCCTGCTCCTGTCAGAATGTACAGTATATATCTTTTGCATTCGTAAAACACTATGACAGATACTTACAATAAACAAAATACACCATATGTTGAATATTTTTTATCATCAAAGCTATACCTGAGTATAACAGGATGCATCCGCTCAACAATGAAACATAATACTGATTTTTAATAATAAGATGTATACTACCGTTAGCAATTAACCTCTCTTTAGCACTGAATGGTACCATGCTCATCACTTTCCCTGGATTTTATAATTTATTTCTAAATGTGAAATACTGCTGCGGCATTCTTTGCTTCTATCAAATGACTCCACTTAATATTGCTACCGAGCTCTGCCGAATTTCACTTTGCCGACTCATGTTTAATGTTATATTATATGTTTTAAGATACACGTTGTTAGTAAACTCGTAGTACTTAGCCTATAGTATTTTCTTCTTAATGTATATTGTATTGTAACGATGCGCTGTACTGTTCTTTGTAGTCTCCGCAGAAGGAATTCAAGTAATAATTTGATTGTCCTTTGTACACTGTATATATATGACAATAAAATTTTAAATCTTGAGTCTAATAAAATAATGTAAAATAGATGTTTTTTTTGTCCTGAAAGCTGCATACACAACATTTTATAAATCAGCTAACCGTATTGCTGATTTTTTCTTCTAATGACATTTAAATTTAGCTTAAATTCAGAGGTTTTATTGACTTTGCAGTGCTGATGTAAACAATTTAGGCTTCACTTTAATTGAAAGAATACAGAAGCGGTGCAACGCCTATGAGTTGGTGCCACCTTACAATAAGGCTACCGTTATAAAGGGATTATGAATGGTTTATAAACAGGTTATTAATTAGGTTGTAAAGCTTTGCAAATCATTACTAAACAATTATAAACAAGTTATACCACAGTTTTCTTCTTATTAATGAGTTACTACCATTTATAAGTGGCAAAGGGTACTTATGATTTTGACAAACATTTTTTCCCATGGAACCAGTTCCTCAACCTCCACCTGCTAAGTTTATGACATAAGACAAGCTCATCTCCTCGATTTTGCACTTGGGGGAAAAACACAGAACTCCAAAAACCTCAGCGATGGAGAACTATAATTTATTTTACATACAGTGAACTGTAGTGGTCAGGGAAACTGAATCAGACTTAGTCAATTTATTTTTTTCAACATTTAAGTACACGATCACCGCATTTTACTTCAAAGAGACTTATCTTAAAATATGAAAAAGCAGTTGAATATCGAAGATTAAATACAATTTTACTAAGTAATAGTAGTGAGATTAATCAGTATTACTTATTACCGTTTCTTGAAAAAATACAAAACTTTATACCTGGATGCAGTGAAGTAATACAAACCGGTCTTTCAATTTGGTTATTTTACTGTATGGCTACATGTGGTAATTATAAGGATGTACGAATCAGACGCTCTTAGGCGCTTTCACTAAGCGATGCCTCTAGGCGCTTAAAACAAACAATTCATAGTATTTTTTTAATTCTCTGCATCGTTATAAAACATTATTTAAAAAAAATAATAATAAAACGTGATGTTTTCCTCCTGACGTAATTACAAGGCGGAACATCCTGCGCTGTGAGGAAGGTGATCCCTGCCTGATGGACACGCCGAAAGCGGAAGTCGCTCCGGGAAAAGGGTGTATAGCGCAGCGCAGTGAGGGAGAAAGCGGGAGGCGGGGAAGGTTTTACTCCAGGCTTGGGTATCTCTACATCCTAAACTACGATCCATATCCTCGATATTGGGTGGGGTATTAATAATATTTCGCTTTCGGTTTTTGGTGCGCTGGGTGAAGGGAAATCGTTTGTAGGGGATAAAAAGGGGGTGAGGGTAGTTCGACCGCCGCTCAACAGCATCCTCCGCTACGGATAGACCGTCACGGACTGTCTTGCGGTAAGAAATGGGGTTTCCTTCCAGCCCTCGATGGGCATCGGGGACCAGGACTCGGGTTTACCACTTGCGGACGGGTCCTTAGGTCGGCGCGTCTGCGCTGAGGCGGGTGACCTGGCTGCAGCTGCGTCTCCGACTGCAGTGATCATTGCGTGGGTGTCGCCTCGTTGCTGGGGAAGGAGAAGAAGGAGGAGGAGGAGGAGGGGGAAGGGGGTGTTTGTCGTCATTAGCATTTCAATATCGTTTGCTAGATATTTGTCTTTGTGAGGCGTGATATATGCTTGTTTTTTGCCCGATGGTGATTTGCCAGAAAACGCAGACAGCCGCTGCGCTTACATTTAGACTCGCTGGAAGCAGGAAACGCAGTCACCAGTGTCAGGTCGAGATGTAGATGCCGCCCCCGCTTTCCCTGCTGACATGCTCAGGATTGTCAGTGTGGGACCGGCTGCATCGCCCGTGACACGGGACCAGGCGCGAGCCTTTCGAGACTGTGCCCCAATGGCGGTGACGCGCCTTATTGATCATGCGCGGCCACCATGCCCCCCCCCCCCCCTTTGATAATGGCAAGATTTGTTTACTAATCATAAAGTCTCCCCAAAACACACCTTCATGCCGATACCTTTCTTGCAAATTGATGTCTCCGTCTGTTTTCCGTATGGACTCCGTGCATCCTTATGAATATTCATTGCTGCATATCTGCATGTCAGCCGTCAGGATGAACAGTGAGGACGGGAACCCCGCTGCAGTGCCTGTTGCAGTTCAGGACACCCAGGGGGACCAGCGCTGGATGTCTCAGGTAAGTTCAGTGCCATCATGCATGGCGGCTCTGTAAATGTCCACCTGTCAATAAATATTGCTTAATCCATATGCACTTTTTTAGTAGCTATTAATAATATGCAAACACTTATTCTGTCATATTCATTCTGTCTGTTTGTCAATAATGTGGCCGTTTCACAAGTTGACGTATAAAACAGGCACTTGCATCACCAGTTATTCCAGGATATACAGTTAGTGGGGAGGCACAGAAAATGAAAAATTGCTAAATTTGGCCCCGGCTATGGATGTAGCTGGACGGTGTGCATGTTGTGTACCGTTCTTGCTTGTGTCACATTTGGTGACTCTGATGACGACCCTCAGACAAGTAAAGAGAGCCATTAATCCTAGTAACACACCAGGTCATATGGGATGCTGAAATACACACTGTTTTTCAGATAAGGGACCGCAGGAATAGGCTTTAGCAGTAGGGCACATTTTGCTACTGCAGCCTAAAGTTATGTTAGCATTGTAATAGTTGCATAGACATCAGTATCAGGACTTACTTGTTGCGTGAATGTGCAGTGTATTTGCATTATGTGTATATGTGTTGCAGCACAACCGCTTCGTACAGGAGTGCAAGGATGCAGAGCCTGACGTGCTGTTTGTGGGGGACTCCATGGTGCAACTCATGCAGCAGTATGAGGTGAGCATGCGTTGCATGCGCTCTTGACCGTGAGGGATGTGGGCTTGTGGCAGTGACACACTGGCCTCATACTTCAAACGACGTCAGGACGGAACGAAATT